CAGGAGGAGCGCTGTGAGTCTGAAACCAGCCTGGGCTACTTAGTGAGTTCCAGGTCAGTCTCATCTACATAGTGAGACCCTGTCTCAAAAAAACAAAAAAATAAAATAAAATAAAAATAAAACATTTTAAAATTAGAATTTAGGTCCAATGGTAAGCATTTTTGGACAAGAATTAATTTTCAGCATAAAGGTAAATCCTTATTTTAGACAACATATAATAACAAATATTATTCCAAAAACAAAATTCTGGAAAAATTTAGCCTCCATACAGGCTGAGCATCCCTAACTCAAGACTTAAATTTGAAATACTCCAAAACTGGAAACTTTCGGAGCACCAGCATGACACCAGAAGTGGAAAGCCCCACACCTGACCTCAAGTGACAATTCACGGTCCAACTGCACATTCACAAAAATATCACTTACATTACCTTCAGGCCATGTGTACAAGGTGGAAATGAAATAAAAATGAATCCCATGCTTACAGTCCTGTCCTGTCCTTAAGATTTCTCATTATGTATATGCAAACATTCTAAAAGCAGAAAAAGCCCAAAATCTGAAACACTTGTGGTCCCAAACATTTTGGATAAGGGATAGTCCACCTATTTTTCAGTGAAAAATAAAATATATTGTTTGAAAATTGGCTTTCAGTAGTGCCAAATATGTACAGTACTAGAAAGGTTCTGGAAAAATGATTCAAGCTCCCTTCACCGGTACAATAATACACTGGGTGGCAAAGGTCTCCCCCAAACTCCAGCATTTACCCCCATCCTCCACGCTCTCATCTACATAGTGGGCAAAATAACAATGGCTGCTTCCTAGGTTAGGCGTGAGGGATACATGAGTTAATTTTTATAAAAGAGTTTGGGTAATGATTGTCACAGCATCACATAATGATGACTAATTAGACTTATATGATAGTTTTTTTTAATTGCCAGAATTCTTGAAATATTTATTTATCTCAGGTACCAGAAGCCGGATGGAGTAACCAAAAGGCAATTTTTGTTCTTACATTTAAAAAAATATATATTTTAAGCTCTCTTTAGGGTATGTAATGTCATTAATTCTCTGCTATGGTTTCTATATTGTCCTGACACATCAAAGTGTATTTGGACACCAATAAGCTTGGATAAAAATATGTTGGTGGAAAATGGGCTCAAAATAAGTTGGTTACCCTAATAAGCGGTTTATGCAGTCTGGACGAGCTGCTGGCTAGGTAATAAGTCTATTTTTACTTGGCATCCATATTAATTATCAAGGAAAGGTATATTCAGACACAAATAAAACTCAGTGCTGATGCTGAATTTAGAAATAGAGTTAATTTCAATAAAAACTAGATGTGGAAAAACTGAGTACCTGAAGCACAGTCATTCCAAGGTTTGTTGGTCAGGGGAAAAATTCCAAACCCCAGGGAGTAGGGAGGTTGAGGAGAAAAAGTGAAGGAAATGAAAATGTGTTGAGAACACACTAAGTGAGGCCCCAGCAGCAGCCAGCCTACTGATGTGCACGTCGGACCTGTCCCCCGTGAGCCTGAAGGCATGAATGGCTTACTGCATTTACGTGTGTGCTGCCCAGCTAACCATCCTAAACATTGAGAACAGTTACTTAAATGTCATGTATCTATATCCGTGTTATTTCTAGAATCCATGATTATTTGGATGAAAACAACCTGAGAGAGACAGAGAAACCACTTAGGAAGCTACCATCACAATTCAGGGGACAGATGTCCCAGGTCAAGACAACCATGGGGATGGAGAGAGTTGGGAAGATTCCAGAGGAATAAGGTACAGGATGGGACATAAATTAAACATAGGATTAAATATAGGGGATGGTAGAGAAGAAGAAATAAATGGTCTGCTTGACACTACTCAATGGCATCTTTCACTGAGAAGACAGTGAAAGAGGAGGTGAGTTGGGGGTGGGGAACAAGTTTGGGTTAGGGCTGAAAAGACCCAAGTGGAAACATCTAGTGCACAGATGAATATATGAGTCTGAAAGTCAGGAAAGAAATCTGCACCAAAAAGTTGTATGAGGGAGTTGTGATATAACAGTTTGGCAATAAGAATAGAAAGAAATTTCACTGTCTGAGGTTAGTACAGAATATAGGCGCCACTGTTTTCAAAAAAGACTTCAGTCTTTCATCTCTGGTAAAAGTCTTCTTCACTTATACTTATATGGGCACCTGGGCCAAACTGAGTATTAGAGTTAAGACTGGTAGTACATGTTTATGATTCCAACTGCTTGGGAAATGAAAACAAGAAATCACAAGTTCAAGGCCAACTCAGAAAACTTAGCAAGATCTTGCCTCAAAAGAAAAATTTTTAAAAGGGCCAGAGACATAGCTCAGTGGTAAAGCTTTTGCCAGGCATGCCATGAGCCCCTGAGTTCAATCCCTAGCACAAAAAAGAAAGAAAGAAAAAAGATTTGGTGCCCAGTGTAGACTAAACCCAGTAAGTAGGGAATTCAGAATTCGGAACTGTTTTATGAAATATTTCTCTTGAATGTACGTGAGCATATCTTCCCCAAAATGTATGTTCTATACATACATACACACATACATACATACCAGGACACATATGTGTGTGTTTATGTGCATAGTATTCTGAATAATAACGGATGCAAAGATTTCATACTAAGCATTTATGCTGAAAATATTATTCTATTTAGAAAAACAAAATGCTCAATAAAATATTTTAAGCAATTTGACACTAGCACAAGATTTTCAAGCTGTTAGAAAAAGCAACAGAGGAACCTCATGAAAGGTTAAAATGATGTAGCTTCTGATCACCAAAAGACAGGCAGACAGGAAAAGAGGAGGAAAACAAAAAGGTCTTGGTCACCTGTGCCTTGAGTCTGGCATGGAGCTTGTGGTCTGATAACCAGGGGTGCTTGAGAGCTTCACTGGCACTTATTCTCCAACTAAAGGTAAATTCAGAGGCTTATTAGTTGGGACACACCCAATGAGGCCTGCAGCTGCAATTCATGTCTAGTCTGGCCTGCACCTTTGGTAGACCAGATAGCTGAATGCTAAAGTCACAGTAAGATCAATCCCTGTGTGTTATGGAGAATGGTACAAGCAACCATTAGATCTGATCAGGGTAACAACACTGGTAAGACAAGCAAGACCAACGATCAAAATTCTTGTTAATAACTGACAATCTACTTCCAATAACTGTATATGGAACCCTTTTTATGACATAACATTGAGCCTCCTGAATTGAACTCCTGACGGTACAAGAACAAATTCATATGTTTATCCTAAGAACAAAATGCTACAGTGATGCTTGGTGATTACAAAAGCAATTTGCGATTTAAATCTTTTGAATGTGTATTACTAACTTTTGAATTAAGAAGGTGTTTTTCTATTTTATTGGTACATTTTAGGTATACAATATAATGACATTCATCATTGGAGATTTGTACCTTTATATAATATATCTTGATTCTTATTTTTCCCCCTATTAATTAAGAAATTTTGAAGAGTTTACAATAGGGAAATACAGTTCATGTAATTAAGAGAGAATGCATTAGATTCCTTTATGAAGAAACAACATCCATTTGGAGCTAAGAATGATTTATACAATTTGAGAAAGTAATATGGGGAAGAACAACGAAGACTATATTATATTCTACTCCTAAGCTGTGTAAACTTGCTCGCTGAGCTGTATCTATCACATTAAGATAACAAATCAAAACAAAAACCGAGTGTAACCATCTGAAATCTGCTTCTGGTCATATCAAGTAGCTTTCAGCAGTCATGAAGCTTCAGTTTGTAGAACTGCTTCAATACAATTGCTTCATCAGATACAAACATTTAGGTGTAAGACACAGAGGAGGTACATTGTACTTTCAGTAGCATCGCCATATAGAGCCCTAAACAGGCAGGAGTTTTTAATTTTTAAAAAACTTCACTTGCACCAACCACAGATGGAAATGCAATCCTGATCAGTGCCATGAATTTTCAGCTGACAGGGCTGAAAATATGTCTGTTGCCACTCTAAAGTTGAAGTTTTAAAGTCTGGCCACTAGAGAATAACAAGAACACTGTACTCATAATTGGACTCTGAATAATGTTTAGGTTTATTTTTGTACCCTGGAAATTGATTCTGTGATAATGATATTTGGCTTTGGCCTTAGCTTCATGCAAATACTGAATTCAAGACTAAGCCAGGTGCCCAGTATGCTTCTTAGATATTGATGCAGGAGTGGGCAGGGACGGGCAGTGTGTCCAGAATCCCTGCCTCAGAATCTGCCTTACATGAGCCACGTGACATCACTGCTCTCAGGCTCAGCTGCTCATCTGTGAAAGTGTTGATTATTCCCACACATCACAGACTTATGCAGAAGTGAAATAACACATAAACGCGTGTATAATACATTCGGCCCTGGGTCTCAGTAGACTGCAGACAGACCAAGCCTCAGTCAAACTTCCAACCTGCACAGCCATCATAGATGACACGAGGAGGGTGGATTCTAAAGGGCCTGGTGGTTTGCACTGCTTCCTGTTTATCCCTGCTTCTGCCAGAGCACGGGATGAACCTGAGTTACCTCTTCTCCTTAATCAGGAGCTTGGAGATGAACTCCCTGGCTTCATCTGAGATGTCCTGAAATTCTTCGTCCTCTAAGTCCCACCTGCATGCCAGAATGTTGCTCAACGTCTCCGCATCATTGTCACCCAGGAAAGGGGACAAACCACTAAGTCTACAGGACACAAGATCCACAGTGAGTATTTTAAAATAAGTCTCAAATCCTTTACAGACAAGTTGCTTTCTGGTTCTATCATTTAAAAGGGAGGAGGAAAATAACTCAACAAAGAAGCATAATTGTACAACCTATTATTGCAACCAGAAAAATGCTTTCCTGCCCCATCCCAAGTCCTAATTAAACAACTGTGGCAGTGAAGGCTGCAGCTACAGTAAAAGGTGAATCTCAAAAAATAGTACACGTTCCTTGCTCAAGCATTTTGCAACTGGCAAAACATTGTCATGTACTGAGGAAGCAAATGCCAGGAACATCACCCCCAAGGAGTGAAGTTAGCGTGAGTCATTGAGATCAGTACAAGGGTGGGGCTTTTTAAAAATATATTTTTAGGGCTTTAGATGATGTCGTAGGAGTCAAAGTGATCCATGCAGAGGACATACATTCACTTTTTAAGATGACGTAGGGGAAAGAATTTACTCCTTTTATCCATAGCATTCAAGAGAACCTAGAAGGCAACTAAGTATGGTATGGTATTTTTTTTAAAGATCTAAATTAGGGTTTTTATTCAAAATAGCCAAACCTCAAAGAATCACGTGTGTGAGAGAGACTGAAGCTGCTTACAGCATATAGGCGATGACCCCTACGCTCCACATGTCTGTAGGGAAGGAAACAAAATCGTAGTTCACGACTTCGGGGGCAAGAAATTCAGGGGTTCCAAAATTCACCTTCAGCTTCTCCCTGGGCTTGTATCTGGAGTTAAAGAGACAAATCAAAAGTCATGAATGTTGTGAAGACATGGGCCTATTAGACAAATGCCTTCAGCTGTGCAGTGAGATTAAAATAAGTAGACTTTAAAGGAGCACATGTATTTGTGTCAGTGCTGGAAACCTGCAGAGAAACCCCATAGGTTTCAAGAGTCAAAGTTCGCTCTGTAAAACCATTAGTAACCTGCAACTGTTTTGGAGAAAGCTGCTTTGAATAATCAGAGCATCTGAATTACAAAATATGACTAAAGAAAGCCAATATAGTCCCTGCCAAGTAGGCAGCCTGAATAAGGCCATGTTCATGAATAAACAGAGTGCTGTGACTATTTGCAACCTGTCTCTGAGGCAGGTAACCATGCTGATTTAAGACTGTGTCCACGTAAACTCTCCGTACCCTTGCAAAACTTACACGTGCCAGCACCTTGCAGTTTCCAGTAGCCATTCTCTTCCCAGATAGAACAAACATAAAAACCAAACTCTTCAAATACTAAATTAATGGCTTCTGACTTCATAAGCCTCACATTTTTACTACATACATTGTAGAAATTTCACTCAAATCTCTAATTCAGCAAGGTAAGACTGAACATGGTTTTTGTTAAATTAATTCTAAACAAGGGCATGGGAAAAAGGGGTGTGTTAGATTTATCTTTGCAAAGAATGAGCACTGGTCATGTCCCCTAACTTTGTTGCTACACCTATGTCCAAACACACATACCTTCTGGCCAATCCAAAATCAATGATTTTTATTTGTTTAGCATCCCGATTCACACACAGGATATTCTCAGGCTGCCAGGAGAAAGAGACACATTAGCAATGAAAACAACCATCTTTCACTCAAATTGTTCTTGAACCACAACTAAAAATACAACAATGCTCAGGAAAAACATATCAGGCCTTTCACTAGAGGCTGGCTTTTCTATGTGGGTATTTTCTCCACTAATTATGTGGTGGATGAGGTTGTGGGTGCCCTTGCCAACCTACCCAGCCTGTCCCTCTCCCTGGGTTTGCAGTTTACCATAATGCATGAGTTCAGGCAGAGGCCTCTTTGAGGGAGAATAGGGAACAAGGCTGTTTCAGGACTTCATTCCATGGCAGAGGCCAGCTCAGGCTTGACATCGCCCCCGCTAAAATTATTAAGTATAAATTTTCCTGTCCTGGAGGAATTTTGTTCCCAAAGATTTATAAGTTCCAAGAGAAACGGCATGATCCACTTAAACAACCACATTGAATGTGCGATATAATGTAAATGTTCCCGACCTCTAGCTTTTCCCTTTGAGCTTGGTTTATGGGAAAGTCGCATGTTAAAGGCAGGCTTTTCTTTCCTATTTATCCTTCATCTCCAGAAACTCTAAGGTTTGCTGAATTTTGTCTCGATGCCTAAAGCCCCTGACTAAGTGTTCCCGTGGAGTTAGACTCTGGTAAGAATTCACCCTGCTAATCTGATAATCTTATGGCAAAGTGGGGAAAGAAAAGCAGATAGTAGCACTAAACTCAGTGTCCCCAAAGTGTGTCACAAATGTACCTACTTTTGGGGGGGCCTGAAGTATCAAGGTCATGAAAAAATAAAGGGCTTGATTTAAGGTCAAGGTCATCCACAAAAGAGAAGTTTTCAACGAAGACACAGAACTCTCAAACTGTAGTTTCAACTCTTCCCTGGGAGTTGGAGGTCCCAGTGGACTTGCTGAATGCCCAGGATCTCATTTCCCCATCTTTCAGCTAGGAGCACGGCTCCCTCCCACCTCCAATCTGAGTGGAGCAGAGGTTCAAATGAGATTAGAAACTCGAGACATATTTGTAAAATAATGTAGTGTCTCCGTGTCAATATCCAGTAGTCCACTGAGTTGGATGCAATATCCTTTCCTAAAATATATCTAAAACAGATGTCTGTGAGTGTAAACCATTTTATACTGAAGTAGGTGCTGTGTGAGGCAGTTGGTTTCATGCTGAAATAACTAATAGATCATGTATAAAGCTGTCTAGTTTTCAAAGAATACTACGGCACCCAAAAATCAGTTTGCAAGAATGTAAAGAAACAGCTCTGAAGGCACTTCCAAAAGTTCACGTTTATGATTAGGAAATCAAAGGATTTTCACTGAATCAGATCTGTAGAACATAAAAAAATAAAAGTCCATTTTTAAGTCATCCCTACCTAATGACAGTGGTTTTAGCCCCTTTCCTCTCAAAGAACATTCTAAAAAGCTAATCCTTAATGACCCACACAGCTGGCACTTTCATTATCATCTTAATCGCACTTTGCAAGTCCCCACCAGTGTTAGGAAGTCACAGCTGGAGTAGTGCCACTCACGATACATCAGCTCCTGGCTCCAGCTATTGATCAAATCCCTTCAAAATATTCCCGATCGACAATAGTGGCCTGGGAAAACAGGCACTGACACACTCAGCTCACAGCCAGGACCTTTACTAATCATTTTTAACCTCTGACTTCATCATTTTATATTCCACCTCCCCCTGCCCTCTTCCTGCAAAAGAGCAAATGGGAAAGGCAAGGCACATAAATCATGACAGTGAGGGAAGCCAAGTCCTAGGAAGAGAGGCTCACGGAAACTTATTTAAGGAGGCTAGATTTACTCAGCTGCATGATCCCTGGTGACTTGCAATAGATGGTATGTTCTACACAGTACATACTTTATCTCATTGTCGTGCTGTGCAAACAGGGAAATGAGAAGACGACCGAGCCACACAAGAAGATACACTTTAGGAGCTCAGCTCCAACACTCCAGATCTGGGGCCTCCATCTTTTGTCAGTTTCGACTAGAACTGTGCACAGCCCACTTCTCCTAGGGGCTTCATAGTGGGGGGTGGCTTCTCTTTCCTCCTCCCCAGCACATACCCGCCCCGTCCTCCCTGCTCCTTGGCATCTGAGCCACACCTTCTGCCCATCCTGCGTTTGGTTCTCCATCATTTGTCTTGAGTGGTTCAGCCAAGCCCAGAAAAAAAGTAAATCCCAAAGTCCAGAGCTTTGGGAAAAACTTTAGAAGACTTCTGAGCATTCTCGGAACTCTAGAAAGTTTGACTATAACTAGGGAATTCTGAGTTAGCTAAAATCCTGCTGATGTACTCTGATGAGAAGGCTGACAAGGAAATTGTGGCAGTGACGGTGTCTTCCAATTATAAACTTTTAGGGAAACCACTTCCTAAGTCAATTTCTTCAAATGGGCAATTTACAAGAATCTGAACAATAGCCTCTGAGATGGACATTAAAATGTAGCCCCTAAAGATGATGGCACAAGTTGAGAATGAGACAAAAATCGAGATTTTAAGCCAGGAGTGATGGCTCACACCTGTGATCCTAACAGAGGCAGGAGGATTGCCATGAGTTTGAGGCCAGCCTGGGATACACAGGGAATCCTTGCCTCAAAAGACAAATAAATTAAGAATCTAGATTTTGCCGACATGGGGGAATATGCCTGTACTCCCAGCTACTTGGGAGGCTGAGGCAGGAGGATCACCTGAACCTAGGTGTTCAGGGCCAGCCTGTGCAACATAGCAATACAGTTTCAAAAAATATCCAGATTTTTGTTGATTCCCAAAAACAAACAGTGACAGTGCAAACTCCCTAGCTGGCATGTATTGTACACAGAGCCCACTGACCAACACGGGGAGCGGGGAAGCGGGGGCACTTGGGGCAGCTTTATGCGCGGTGGGGTAGAAAACTGCCCTACCTTCAGGTCCAGGTGGAGGATGTACATCTGATGCATGTGCCGTACACCCTCACATATCTGCTTGACAAACAGGACAGTGTCGAGCTCCGTCAAGCTGCAGTTCTCGTCGATGATGCGGTCAAACAATTCCCCGCCTTCCACACTGTAGAGGGGCAGAGGGGTGAAGCACTCAGGCCTCACTCTCAAGCCAGCACAGGTTTTCCTGTAGCCAGCTCGCCCCCAAGTTTCTCCGGCTCTTCCGAAGGCCCCGCGCAGAGCTTCCTCTGCCCTCTGTGCTATCTGGGTTGTATGCACGACGCTTGCACCGGGAATAGCACACAACTCCTTTTCACAAAGCAAAATCTCAGTGTCCTTTCATCAGCGACTACAGCTCTGGGACGCGTCTGTGTGTACCGTACCACTCCCTAACACAGGTCAGAGATAAAGAGGATTCGGAGCACGCGGGAGTGTTCTCCTCACACCCAGCACCAAGGAGTCCTGGTCTCAACCCTTTAACTTCTCCAACTAATTGGAGTGACAAAGTGCTGACGCTTCATTACCCAAGATGCTTTATGGCACAGTGAGAAGCAAAACCAAAATGGAAACAAATGAACTGAATCCCAATATCCATTCAGTGCTTGTCAGAACTCGTTTTCTTTTTTCATGGTGCTGAGGATCAACCTCAGGACCTCACACATGCTAGGAAAACACTCTGCTAATGAGCTACATCCTCAGCCCAGAACTAGACATGTTCTAACCAGTCATTACGTTTTCACCAAGGTGATGCTAAATTGTAGCTCGTTAGTCCCAGTCACCAAGGGTGACGTTGTATTAGTGAATACACCACCTCCTCTTATGCAGAGTCTGCGTTACCCACAGGCAACAGTGTTTAGTGTATAGATATATAGAGACATCTATATCTATATCTATATCTATGTCTATCTATATATAGTTTCATTATAGTGTGTTGTTATAATTGCTTTACTTTGTTAGGCATTTATAAGTAATAAATTAAGCCTTTGCATGGGTAGGCATGTATAGAAAAAAGCATAGTATAGAAATAGTATAGAAATGGGTCTTGGTACTATCCTCACTTTCAGGCACTCCCTGGGGGTCTTGAAACCTATTCCCTAAGGACAAAGGAGGACTTCCTGGTGTTGAAAATGAGAGGTCGTTCAAGAGCCACTTTCATCCCTATGACCCATGGTGAAGGGGAAGCGTGGTTCTTAACAACACAGCTTAGATGCGAAGCTACAGCTAAGACAGTCCATCCTGTGACAGCTCAACCGGGAATGACATCAGAGGATGCCTATTAGGAAGGAATCTCCCTTGTGAAACACACATGCATGGGATTCACACACATCAGAACCAGGGGGTCCACCACGCGGGGTTCTGCCAGATGGGAGGGGATACCTACTACTCCATGACCAGGATGATGTCGTTCTTGGATTCAAAGGCGTCGTAGAGCTGGATGAGGTTCACATGGTCCAGCTGGTTCATAACACTGATCTCGTTCTGCACCTCCTCCTGCAAAGGGCATGGTGCGTCAGGGCAATAGGGGAAACTGCACAAGATGAGGAGACCCGGGCCCCCTCCTCTTTACCTTGTCCTTTGTGCTTCTGGTCTTAATGATTTTGGCAGCCAGCTTCAGGCCTGTTGCTTTCTCTTCACACTTGTGAACCTGGCCGAAACGTCCCCTGCCAAAGAAGAGGACAGCACAGCATGATGTACCACTGTCAGCAGGGACGCAGGGCAGTCCCTGCCACGTGGACAGTGGACAGTCACCCCCAGTGTTTCTCTCTCTGAATCTGAGCCAGCAAACCTATGGGTGTCTCTGCTAAATCCAGTAAACTCCTAGTACAGCACCGGTCAGGGTGCGGCTGTGTCACTTGCATCAGAAGCTATTGGGAGGAGGGGGTTAAGAATGCAGGTCTCTGGCTCAGGTCACACATCCATGGAGGCAGGATGAGTCCAGGTGAGACCCCAGAACCTGCTTTCCACCTGTTCCTTGGGTGAGTCATTTAAACACTAAAACTTGAGAACCACTATTATAGACAACACAAAGCTTCAAAAGCAAATGAATAATACAGTCTATAGGTCAGGTATATCAAAATCTTTTTAGAAACTGCATATCAATAAAAAGGTAATATGCCCTCCCCCACTGGTGTCATGGTGACCCTCAGCATGTGCCAATCTGTGATGTACACAACCCTGGGGAGGGCACATAGCTCTTACGTCAGGAGCCTACTGGGACCTCTGTGTCTCTCTGTACCTCTGAATTGCCAACACTGTCTCAAAAAGATAATAATTATTATAAAATAAGGTAATAACAATATTGCACATAGATACATATAATCAGTGTACACATTGCACAGTTGCTGATGGCATTTTCACGGTTTAGCTGGGCTGTCAACCTGTATGCGCTTTGGAAGACACCTTCTGCTATGGATATGGCTGTGTGTTCCCCAAAGATTTATATGCTAGAAGTGTGGTCTTCAGCATAGCAGAGCAGGGCTGGTGTGGAACTTTTCATTTGTGAGACCTACCAGGAAGTAATCAGGTCATTCGGGGCACTGTCCTAGGAAAGAACTGATGTTCATCTTGTGGGGTTCCGGTTAGTTTTCATGAGTGGGCTGTTACCGAAGATCAATTCTGACCCCTTCACATTGTTCCTGGGCTTCCTGTCTTGCCATGTCAACCCTACCTCCTACCCTTATTCCCACCATGATGTGATGAAGCCAGAGGACTCCTCACCAGAGTTTAGCCAATGTTGGCATCATGATCTTGAATCTCCAGAACTGTGAACTTCTTTCCTCAATAAAGCACCCACCCTTGAGTAGTTCATTATACTGACAGTAATGGACTCAGACAGCTTCTTACCTCACATTCAGAAATGCTTGTGAACAATTTTTAAATTTAATTCGTTTGATCCTATTCCTTAATTAGTAAAGTAAGATAGAACATATATCCTGCTCTGTGCCACTGTGGCTGTCATGGTAGGGAGTAAAGGGAGAGCAGCACAGTGAATGTACAAAAGCTGCATCCTTGGCACCTGCAGGGTGATAGCAGCACCTGACAGAAAGGGTGCAGAGGTGGCCACCATGTTCTCAGTGCAGCTACCCACCCAGCACAGAAGCAGGAGATGCTTGGAAAATGATGTTTGATTACTGGAGACAGAATCAAGTGGTGGCTTCAGTTCTAACCATCATTCCAAATGGAATCTCTATTGGAGAACATGAACGCAGCCAACGTGCCTCCTGCGTGACCATTGATTAAGAAAGTGCTTTTTCCCAGCACAGGTGTCCCATCATGGTTGGACTCCATGGCTACCTGTACTTCTCTGGGTCTCTCACGCAATTCATCATGCACGTTGGATGTTGACATCATCTCATATGATTCATTCTCTGCCACCAGACTGGTAACCTCATGCTCACTGAACATGGTGATCAGGGATTGTGGTAGTCAGCTTGGTGCTGCTAAACAAGACATCTAAGATAAACAACTTTAAGGAAGGAAGATTTCTTTTGGCTCATGATTTTAGAAGTTTCAGTCCATGGTCAGTTGGCCCTGTTGCATCGGGGCTGAAATGAGGCAGAATATCATAGCATGTGGCAGAGAAGTCTTCTTACCTCATGGTATCAGGAAGCAAAGAGAAAGACATAGCAGGGGCCAAGATCCCACTCTCCCCTTCAAGGACATGCTCCCAGTGACCTCACTTCCTTCAAGGACACCCCCCATTACCTCACTTCCCCCTATAAGGCCCACCTCTGAAAGGTTCCACCACCTCCAACAGCATCGCAGGGTGGGAAACAGAGCCTTTAACTGAATTCTCTGGGAGACACTGCAAATCCAAAGAATACCAGGGATACAAAAACCCATCTATGGTGGGAGATGAACCCAGGAAGCATTTTGAGGATCCAGTGGTCCTTGGCATGTTGCAGTATCTCCACCAAAAGTAAAAATGAAGTTGCTACACCTTGAGTCCCCTACTGAGAAGGGGAGACACAGCTCTTGATGAGCCCTTCATACCCTGAAGGCAACAACTCACATTCAGTGGTGCTCTTCTAGCTCATTGCTGAGCCAGTTTTGGCTACCAGTATTGAGTGGAGCCCAGAACAAGATGTAACCGGCCCCGCGTCCACACTCCAATACCACCAAGTAGATCCAGTGGTCCCCAAAGAGGCAGAAAGGGCCTTTAAAGGAGCCATGAACAAACCTTGGCCAGACAAAAGCACAAACTCTGGGAATTATTTCAAAATTTCTACTGCAAATAACTATTCTCCTTCAGAGAAATAGTTGTTGGCTTGCCACTGAAGTCCCTGAAGACCTAAGACTTCAGACTTCCACAGCATCAGTTCATGTTTGGAATTCACATTTCTCCCTCCTCCCATCCCCACAATCCCATGGGGCGTTCTCTATAATCAGCAGCTGAGGAAGAAAACTTCAGGTGGTTCCATGTGACAGAGAGCAGAAGGAAGATGGACTGGGAGGAGGAAGAAGGGACTTTATAAAAATCAACTAGATACATCCTAGTGACCCGTTGCACCTGTGTGTATTTTCCATATGTTCGTAAGTAAAATTTGCATATATGCGTGTAAACTTTCTGTTCACACAGACATACTGATGGTAGTAAGCCAGGCTTTGAGTTACAAGATGTCATAGCAGGACTGCAGAGGACTTAGAAGAGAAAGACTGTCCCCCAGCATAAATTGGTTCCCTGATAAGCCACAATCTTCCTGCTTTAGGGGGAGAAGTGTGCATTTAGATGACCATCAAAGAAGCTCTTCAATACAAAAATGGATTGTTCAAATGGATCATAGTAATTTATATAGTAACAATAGAAGTGGGAAACCAGCAACAGTGATACGAAGATTTAACACATGCCACAAGAAAGACACAGCACTGACTCATTTCTGCATTTTGTCTGCCAGGGTTTGAGCCACAGCTCTGGACAGCTTCTGAACCTCTGGTGACTCACGTGGGTTTTCTTACTCTCAGACATGACAACACGGGAAGTAAAGCCAATAATAAACACAGACTTTAGTCACCACATCAACCTGTCTGCCTTCAGTGACAATTGTCAAGAATGGTTAAAATCTCTTAAAATGTTTGCTCATAATGTTTCCAGTTCTCAGTGAGACCAGCAAACATGTATGAGGTCCTCAGGCCCTGTCTCTCTGGAGGCCTCTGCTTTCACTGACTGCTCAAATGATGCAGCACTTACCCTCCTAAGATCTCTGTTTTGCTCACGGTGTATAAGCTATTGACTGCTGCTTGCTTGGCTGTCACAATACGATGGTCAAACGGGGCAGCGGGAGCTGGGATGTCACCTAAAAGGTCAAAGAAAAAGAAGGGCTGCTGTCAAGCAGTCTGACCTCTTTCTGGCATCATGCATTTGGCCTCGTAGTAAAAATTTGCTCCTCTAATAATAAAATACAATGTGTCATTGGTTTCATTCCAAAGATCCAGGAATAGAAATTTTACTCGGTATGGTGACCTGCGATCCAGTGTAGGTGATGGCTGACATCTTTGAGAGAGAATGTCAGGACAACTAACCTGTCACCCATACCCTCTCCAGGACCACTTTTAGAAATGTCAAGAGAGTCAGAAATCTGACCCCCAACACAGTTCAGACAGGTAATACTTCCAGGGGTAGGGGTGCAGCTCAGTGGTAGAGCACCTGCTTAGTATACTGGAGGCTCTGGGTTTGATTCCCAGCATCACAAAAGAAAAAAAAAATTTCCTAGCCCAAGACCATTTTAAGTCCAACATGAGAAATTATTTGATCCACTTTTTTTAAGTGCCTGAATATAGTAGCCCATTCTTTTAATCAGTGTGGAAAGAAAAAAGGAAAATGAAACATTTCTTCATGCCATTGATATTATATATTACTTGCCAAAATGTTCTAGGCTTTTTTTAAGACACTTTAAGGCACAAAGATGACATTTTCCTGGATAACTGGAAATAAAACACCCAATAAAACTAGGTAAGTGTGTGTATTCCACAGCTATCAAATTTCTTTCACTTTCCACCTTCCACCGTATGCGTTTAAACTCCAGCCCACATCCACATCAGTCCTAACATGCAGAATTACTCAGTAGTGTTTCTCCCTATCCTCCTTTTGCTTTCCCACAACTACTGCTGTTGACATTTGCTGGCCATGAACCCATTCATGCTCCACTTATTCACTCATTAATCAGCTGCTGTGTGTGTACACCGAGGTCACGGAGAAAGGGGAGTAAAGATTTGACGTCTCGCCAGTGCACACTTCTTGAGTACTTATCTTGTTCTGGGTACTCTACCAAGTGTCAATATCTTTTAATTTAAAATTAACATGTTTATATTCAGATAAGGCAAATCTCTATTAATTTGATTCGATATGGCCATTCACTTTCACACTAAAAATGCACACTGAAAAATGGAGAGGATTGTCTTGCTGGTACTCATTTCTTCCAACTAAATTTTTCAAGTGTGCTTGAGTTAAACACAGAAATGGCACGATATGGAAGTATGTCTCTGTGAGGCTGGTAGGCTAAGAGAAACCTAGTTGGACTGCTCACTGGAAAGACTAAGAAACTTTACAAGGCCCAAACCACAGCCATTTCCTACCCAGTGGGGCCACCAGATCCTGCTCTCTGAGGGTCTTTGCTCCTGCGGACTCCTGCAGTTTGTCCTGTGTACCCCTCTGGTCTCTGCTGGCTTCATGTGTCTTTACAAACATGCCCTCTTCACCCGCTGCATCCATCCTGCTCTTCTTGTTGTCCTCATCCAAACCGCTCTCCTCCTCTGTTACCCTTCGCTTACTGCTGCTGGCTGACTCTGTCTGCTCAGAGATCTGGAAAGAGGATCCTGTTGTGGAATTCCTTCGGATTCCCAATGTAGAAATAGCCTCTATGCTGCTGACACACCTGGAAAATAAAATCTAGTTGTAGGTCTCAAAGTTTTAAGGAGAAAATGTCAAAATCCTTACCCTGAAGCTTTGTTGCAATGGCCTTCTGGTGTAGAGAGCCTGCGTCCCCGGCAGAAAGACGACCATTTCAGTGTTTGGGGACAAAGGGAAACTGTGCTTTCCAGTATCAAACTAAGTAAATTACCATGTGAAGGACTTTCTCAGAGGCCTTATGACTACTCCATGTTATTCCACTGACTCTGCAAAGCAGCCACTGTATCAGAGTCTAGCCTGATCTTCATTTCTTTCACGCAGTTTGACTGAATGACAGCATAACAAATGAAGCAATAATCGCTCTGAAATTTAGCAGCTATGAAAGAATATTTATTGGTGGAAGAATTGACCTAATATATGGTTTGGAGCAGCTCTTGATCATGCTAAGTACGTCTTTATACTGAAGGACTTGAATCAATGTTTACACTTAATTTATGGAAAATTAGATTTAGGCTTCAAATGTATTATTCTAAAATTTAAAAATAAGTATGTTTTAAATCTCCAACAAAGAACACACAAGTGATTGACACACTTTGTTCCAATTAGCTGTTGTGTGTTCTTCAAAACCAAAAGCAATTAATTTTAATTGGCTACAAATTTTCCTGAATTTATGTGTGAAACTTTGCATTTGAAGAAGAAAGTCTTTCAATGATCTATTTACAACCCTGAGGGTTGGGGAAATAGTGTATCACATATATTGGACTTTTATAAACCTTTTGAGACTTAGGTTTTTAACATATAGTTCAATCTCATCATTATTTAATTCTGGACCTCTGGGAGACTGTGTTCTGTATTGCTGCACAAGAACAAAAAAACTTTTTACATGATCTTTAAAAAATATTGAGTTACTGGAAAATTAATAATCGTCATTGTTACCAACAAGTTGCTAGAGAACAAAGTGGGACTTGGAGTGCAGCTCAGTGGTAGAAAGCATGCTCACCATGAGCAAGGCCCTTGGTTTGATCACCAGCACCAAAAGAAAAGGAGAAAAAGAAAACAAAACAATAAAATGGCCAAAAACAACTCAGGCAAGAAGAAATAATAATGGCATGAAAATGTGGCCACAAAAAAGTCCACATACACTCGATTCTGAATCCTTTCCTTAAAAACTCTCTTCGTTCAGTTCATCCTTTCATTGTGACCTAAAATGGTAATGGCATGAAAACCTATAAAAGCACCCCCTGTGGGTGGAGAATGCTGTAACCCTACCTTGTCCAGGGATGATCAGAATTGTTTGGATCAGTGTGTTGCTTTTTACTTGAACATTGGTCCAGCACAGTTTTGCTTGCAGTCGCTGATCCTCCTTCCTCAGCTTCCCTTCCACTGTCTTCCTTGGGATGGAGCCCATTTTTCTCCCCTTCGAACATTAGACATTCATTTTTACCCACAGTGGCTTGCTTGTCATCTCCAGCACTATTATGTTCCTGTTTCTGTGGGCTCTGTGTGCATGACATATCTTCTCCGCCTGTCTCCTCTCTTGCTTCTATGGAATGTACCGAGGCAAATTCTTCCTCCTCACCTCCTCTTTCTGCAGGGCAGATGGCAAAGCTGAGCTGAGCTACAGAGGCACTGGTCTTCTCAGCATTTTTCTTGTTGAGCTTGTCAACCTTTTCTTTCTCGGAGAAGAGGTGATCCTTCTTGGCAGTTCTCTCTGGAAGCCACCATAGGACATGAAATATTTTATGGGGAACACGTGATCAGTATAACTTTGGCTTCAGAAAATAGCATCTCTATTCTGGTTTCTTTTTTATAAGCTTTTAAAAGCACAGTATGGAAATATGACCAATTGATGGACAATTGGTTTTTGAGAGATTTTCTTGTTTGTAACTGGTAGAACCAAAAGCCAATCAGATAAAAGAATTCACAGAACAGCCTTTCTCTCTGTATAGGCTTCATGTGATCCCCTCTGAGTAACAACAGAATTCTGGCAACAGAACTCTCCTTAAACTTGATTATCTCATACACTAAGGGTATTACCTGTGATGACTGATGTCCTTTCACCTTTGATGGGTGTCCTTTCTTTCCGGCCAGGGTTCAACCATGCCTTCTCCTTAGCCTGTGGATACACAAGTAACAGAGGTTACCTATCATACCTGTTTTTCAACCTAAGCACTACGGACAGTTGGAGCCGGGTAACTAACTCTTTGTTGTGAGGAATCTCAGCAGCATTAGAGGATGTTTGGGCAGTACACATTGGCCTCCATCCTCCAGATGCCAATAGCACCCTTTCTCCCAGCTATGATAACCAAAACATGTCTCCAAATATTTGAAATGTATTCTCTTACTTTAGAATATATCATACACTATTGATTATATTCATTTTGTGGTGCAAGGGATCTCAAAACCTATTCCTCCTGGGCCGGGGATTTAGCTCAGTGGTTCCACCACCTGCTTCACAAGTGCAGGGACCCAAGTTCAATCCCCAATACTAAAAAGAAAAGAAAAACTTCCTATCTGAAACTTTGCCAATCAAATGTAATATTAATAAAACAAGATGATTCAGAGATTGCTAAATAGCTCCTGGGGGAAAATTTGCACCAGATTGAGAACTTGTATAACAATAATATACATGGCAAAATCTGAATTAATAAAACCCTGCATAGTCTGCAGTGTCTGGAAGCAAGTGAATCTATTATATTCAAAGAAATTCTGTACAACTGTGTCATGTTTTGTGGAAGGTGGCCTATCTTCATGAATAGATTAAAGGATATTGATGATGTGTGTCTCATCCTTGACATGTTTAAATTGTCTTGATGTGGTTCACATAAAAATCAAATAAAATGTGAGGATATACATGAATGAACTTTGTAAATGAGAAAGAAGGAGGCCAAATATAGTACACTTTTTTATAATTGGAGCTTTTTTCATTGTTTCCCCAGTGGATAAACATTCTTCTCATGATCCTAGATTCCCTGAATTAGTTTTGTAAACCTCTAAAAATATTATATAAAAGAAAAATAGCAGCCAAATCTACCCAAATTTTCACAAATTCTAAAGTTATACTTTATAAACTAATGAAACTGTAGGCCTTTATAAAGAATCAGTCTTTTTTTTTAATATGAAACAATACAATTTGCCCCAAGGTGATTTGCAAATACAAAACACCCTATGGTTGCACAGCATAGATATCAAGACAAATTTCCACTATGCTTTTAAGTAATTCAAAGAGCAAGTCCCATGGGTTCAAAGTAGTTTCATTTTTAAAATGGGGCCCTTACAACACAGGAGCATGTTTTGTAGAGCTGTGGAATGCCAAGGTTGGAGATTAGAACTACCAAGTTTTGTTAAGTCCAAGTGCAGAGGCGGAAGAGGAAGGGGCCTTCTTCAGCTTCCTCCAATGAAGCTGGTTGCTTTTCCTCCTCTAGGCTTGCACGGAACTCAGTATTTGCCCCACCCTGGTTAACCTTTGGCAACGCTTTCTTGACCTTTCTTTTCTCATGTCAGTTTGCCACCAGACTGGGGGCTTCTCATGTGCAAAAAGACTGATTCATCTTTGGCTCCTGGTACTTAGTCCAGAGATCAGCGCATAATGACATTGATAATGAGGATGATACTGATGTGATGAAAATGATGGTGGTGGTGATGGTTGTGATGATGTCTAATCTGTAGAGCATGGCCTTCAAGTTCTTCCATGGACTTCACGCTATTAACTTGCTTCTCCTTACAGCTGTCAGTCCCACTTTACAAATGACACCAAGATTCTGACTCGGTCGCTATTTTCAGTCTGTGTTCTTAGGGAGTACACACATTTTACCAGCAACGGCAAACCTTTAGAGACTGAGGCCCACTCTGCAACCCCAAACCCACTTATTCACTGCAAAGTGCCAACACTGCAATTAAACCTGAATATTGAGGGTTTCACTGAGAAAAAATAACTGTTATCTGATGCTCAGCTGGGGTGACTGGGTTCACGTGTCGACAGAGAGGACTCTGTGTGCCCTGCCCGCTGCAGCACACATGCCATAGGCTTGCCACCACTGCACTACACTGTTTCTCTGGGGTGTAAAGATAAAATAATTGAGGGCAAGTTATGTTATTAATATTTATTAAGCTCTATTATCAATATTTACCTCTTACGGTGCCAACTACTTGTTACATAGTTGGTACCACAAGAGATAAGAAAGATTAAAGAAAGACCAAAAATGAAAATACATTAGAGGAGTAAAAAGATAAACATTTATTTACCAAAAGATTAGAATTAACATAGAAGGAGGGAAGAAAAGAGAGAGACTAAGTTCAGTTTTGAAAACATATATACAGATTAGTCAAATAAGATAATTTCACAAAGTGTGTTTATAATAGTTTGTGTTCGTCTTCCAAAGATTGTTTTTTGAAGTGAAAACTTCTGGTGTATCACTCAGCATTACACTTCTAGGTTTATGCTGTATAGCATAAACACAATGGTAAAAGCGAAGGTGGCCTTGACAGTGAAAACTGGTGTATATCGGTCAATTCCAGACCATCAGTGTATGTAAATTTGAGGATTTGGCCACATGACTATGTGGAGCACTGATGGAGCCGTGCTTGGCCCCCAGGCTGTGTAAGTGTCTGAGATAAACTGCACTTCCTGTGCCCACATCCTTCAGGGACAGAATCTGACCAACCACCAGAAGCTGTTGATACTGAGAAATATAAGAAGCCAGCTTCCAGACTAGGCTGCTTTTTCCTGTTGCAATTTTATATATCACATATGTTTTACCATTTGAATAATGTGAGGTCTTCTTTGCCACCAGCCACTACATTTTTATTTCTCTATGTAATACTGACATCTAGAGGAACTTTGAACTGAAGTTTCGATAAACAGAAGTAATATTTGTATTTTTCTGTCTCCAGACAGTAGCGTTTAACTTCAGTGTGAGGCCTATTTACTTTGCATTCTCAATTCTATATTGCAGTTGCTAAAATAGGAAACACAGGTTTGTAGGCACATCTTGTTTGTTTTCCAAAGATAAAACTTGCTTTCTATTGACTAATGTGGGCAGGATTGGTGCTCTTAAGTGTGAAGTTCCCCAAAACATTCTGTTCAATACCCCATTAACAGAAAGAAAACTCCATCAGGGACTATGTCTGCCTGCCAGTTCACACTGATGGCTGAGAAAAAACAGAAGACTTTGCTCCATTCAAATGCATTTGCTTAAGAAATATTATATATTTGCATGTGGATGCCTTGTCCCTATCTGCCGGTTCATGTTATAATAACTTATCAGTGAATTTTGGATGAAACAGGAAAGAAAGGGGACACGGCCCTGATACCCAAATACTCTGTTTGTCCAGTCTCCTAGATGGGCCTCCTAAGGGGGGCCGTGTGCACTCAAGGATTGTCCAGAGCAGTCCTGGGGGAATGTGAAGGAAATGTTCACATTCCTTTCTACTTATTCCACTTCCTAAGGCTGCATGTTTGCGCCCCCGACGTTGGCCAGTTGCAGACCTAACCTGTGCAGTCTATGCATAGGTGGGGCCTCTGGGCAGTGAGCAGGCTGTGAGGGGGTCAGCACCCTGCCAGCAGAGCCAGCAGAGGGCCCGTCCTCTCTCCCGCCCTGGGTGCTACGTGGCCGTCTGCACACCAGGAAACGGACTCTGTCTAGACCTCTGCTCCTCGAGCGTGGACTTTCCAGCCTCTAGAGCTGTCGGAAAAAAATGTCTGTTGTGTGAGCCACCCAACCTTTGGTAATTTGCTGCTGCAGCCCAAAGTAATACACTAATAGATAGAAATACAGATATATATGTGTGTGTTTAAAACTACATAGAAATAAAACTGAACATGTATCCAATTTTTGAGCTTGTATAATATATTAAATGTGATTCGTAAAAATAAATATATATACACTGGTTATCAATGTATATCATTTATCAGTAAACATTTACTGTGCCTAAAAGTCTCTTACTAATAGCAGTCCAAAATCAACACCATTTGGAGACCACTCCTCTACATTAAATATTTCTGCCATTCTGATTCATTGAAAATGTGTTTCATAGGAGAGCCATTCTAATGAGCAGGCCCAGGGGCAAGGACGTCATTAGAACCAACAGCTCCATACTTGCAAACTCGAAGCACCGCTTTTTTTGCAAACTCGAAGCACTGCTTTTAGTCAGGCCTAGTTGTTTGCGCGACGGTTGTGATGATCTGACCAACCCTAAGTGCGCACACACTCCCTCCTCTTGTCTCTATCCCAAGCTGTGCTCACGGCCTCAGGATGTGTCCCTGAATAGCAGGCCGCATGCGTCTGTGGTGTGTACCTGGCTGCCAAGGTTGGTTTCCTCTCACTCTGAACCAGTGGTGGAGCAATCCAGAAGAGAATCGATTTCCATCTAGATGACTTTGCCTACTCCATCTTTGATTCTCATTCCATAAAAACTACATTTTAAAAAGTTAGGCTACAGCAGGAAATGGGCTGCTCATCCCAAATGCATCCCTGCTACCAATCCTCATTTTCACTTCCGTTAAGTGATGTCAAGTGACACTCACTGCCCTCCATTTTCAGATTGTAGTTGCTACAGAAAACGGTTCCCACTTGCTCATGAGACACAACTGCACTGTGTACCTTGAGTGATGCCTTTGCATATTGCTGCTTATAATGCTGCTGAGATGAACATTCTGTGATCACTTTTACCTACTCCTATAGGCAAAAAGTGAAATTGTAACAATTTATAATGACCTTGTTAACCTTTGATTAGGCTCCTAGTAAGGAGGAGAAAAATAAATCCTAAAAGAATACAAAGAAACAGAATTTACCGAAGTAAAACAATGTTTCCTTACCTAAGCATAGAAGATCATCTTTGAGATCACTTGTGAAATAAATCTATTTCTGCTTATCCTCAACACACTCTCACATTCTCTGTGCAGTAGGTGGGAAAGCAGCCCAAAGTCTTAGGTGGATAAAAGGAATTTTCACAAAGCACAACCTGTTTTGTGGTCTGTGGAGACCAGGGCAGGTTCTGCCTGACTGAATCCAGGGAGAAAAATGTTTGGCTGGACCTCAGAACTCAGTGAGTGGCTCTTCCCTGGGCTGCTGACGACATCAAGCAGAGTGACACAGTCCCCTGAGAAAATAACAC